CTACTTGTCATTAAGTCATGCCCACTCACTACAGTCATGGCTCCTGCCCCAGTGATGCTGTCCCTCCACAGAAATCTTTTTCCCCCTACTCCACTTTCTAAACATCAGGTCAGGAATGTTCTCTACCTTAGATTCTTTTAAAAACAGCAAATACAAATCATCACCCTTAAGGAGTAGGCATCCACTTAGTGAGGAAGACCTGCCATATATAATGCAGGGCCAAAACCATGATGTACTTAAAACATATTCAGCCCATCTTCTTCTAGAGTCAAAAAGTCCACTCCAGTAGTTATTACAAAAGAAAAGTCAAAACCAGTTTGGGAAATACACGTAGCACTTCCTCAGCTGACAGTTAGAGTGCTTATTCAGTATAATAAAGCCTGTCACATTTGCTTCAAACTGTACACTATTTTTTATTTATTTATTTATTTATTTTATTTTTTTATTTATTTTTTTTTTTTTTTTGTACCTGGGATTGAATTTAGGACCTTGCACTTGCCCGGAAGGTGCTTAAGCTGCTGAGCTATCTCTCTCCCCAGCCTTGCACACATTTTAAAATTATCTCAGATTATGACAAAAGTCAGTCCAGATCCACAACATGTTGTATGGTATTTGTGAGGATCCAGAAAGAATTCACACCTAGAGCCAAGTTTTCCTGCTTTTTCTTTCCTACTTTCATTCCTTTTTTGTTCATTACTTTCTTCTCAATCTCTCTTTCTCTTTCTCTCCTCTTCCTTCCTTCCTTTACTCCTCCTTTTTTCTTTTGTCTCTCTCCCCTCTTCCCTTTCTTCTTTCCTTCCATTCCCCTCCTCCATACCTCTTTCCTTTCCTCTTTCATTTCTTCCCTTCCATCCTTTCTTCTTCATGTCTAAAATCTCTTCTATCCTTCCTGTAGACCACAAAATTCAAACTTCCCGTAATTCGAAATGCCATCCACAAGCCAAGTCGGCGGGGCTCCATACTCAGCCTGTCTCGGACCAGTGGGGGATCCTCCCCGCACAGCAGCATGATCTCTGTGAATCCTGGCTCAGATGAGCCGCAGAGCTTGATCACCCAGGGGACGAGCAGCAAAGACATTGAGGATAACGAGTCCTCTTCTACCAAGCCAGATGAAGAACCTCTTCATATCTGTAAGTTCTCCCTGAGATGCGCCTTTCTCCCTTTAGGTTTTTATGAGCTCTTCTCACTTCACCTTGAATACCAGTCAATAAGTGGAGACGCAGAAGTCCCCAGCCCTGTTCAATCTTCTTGGATTCCTTGCTTTTTTTCCAGAGAGGTCAGAAGTACCTTGTATAATTTGAATTACTCTGAGCCTTCCTCCTTGGGGAAAGGTGCACTCCATGGCCACTTATGGAGCTTTCTGAATTTTTTTTTTTTTTTTTTTTTTTGTGGAACCGGGGATTGAACTCAGGCCCTTGCGCTTGCCAGGGAAGCGCTTTTTCCACTGAGCCATCTCCCCGGCCCCCATCTTTTTGAATTTTAAAACTATATTTTATTTACCCTCAAATTATTTAGAACATGGTCGTGTCAATGTGTAATCAATATAAAATTTAGTGAAATTGTTTAGATCATTTTTCCTCACTAGGACTTTTCAGATCCAGTACCTACTTTTAAATAGCTTTGTTGAGAGATTACTTACATACCATGAAGTTTATTCATTTTAGAGGTACAATTTGCTGAGATTTTAGTAAGCTTAAAAATTGTACACCCATCACTACAATCTCATTTTAGAACATTGTCAGCCATTTAAATGAAAACTTCTTAGCCATTACCAGTTCCTCTCCCTCTCCAGCCGGCCTCCAAACAGCCACAAATCTATTTTCTCTCCCTACAGATTTTGTCTTTTCTGAACAGAAATTCATTTGTCTTTTCTGTGATACTCCCAGAAACACAGTGTGAGGACATTCATTGAACATTATAGCCTCTTACTCAAGATGAAAATTCACATGAACACACACACACACACACACACACACACACACACACACACCCCACACACCTGGCTGCTGGGCCAGCATTCTTTTACACTATCTTTAATGTAGGCAGCCACCAGGGCTGGGCAGAGCTAACAAGGACTGGGTGCAGCATAGACACAAGGGGGTGTTAAGGAAGTCAAATTAGACCCAGAGTGTGTGTAGGACCCTGGGAGTCAGAGCCAGAGGTGGGCAGAAATGCAACCATCCGGGAAGTGACTAGGACACAGACTAGGAACAGCAATAAGAGAATCCCTTTCTAGGAATCTGTCCATTTCTTCTGTGTCTTCTATTCTGTGAGAGTAAAGATTCTCAAAGTAGCTACTGACGATCTTCTAAATTTCCACTGGGTCTGTGGTAATTTCAGCTTTTTCATTCCTTATTCCTTGTATTTGAGTTTTTCTTTCCTCTTTATACACAAAATAGGATAGATATACAGCTACTTTCTCTTTGTTCAATGAGAAGAAAGATTTGTACTAATAGTGTTTAGACAAGATACCATGTCTGCGTCTTGTACTGTGAATAACTACTATGAAGACAACAATATGCAACATATTATTATTGTAACTATCTTCCTAACCTATTTTGAAATTGTCTCATTGTTATTTTTTCTCAATAAAATTAATTTTAAAAAGTTTAAAAAGAGATTATAATACAAAAAAAGAGAGAGAATCCCTCCACCTTTCCCTGTCAAGAGGGGATGCAAAAAGTCCCCGAGCCCTGAAAACCTGTTCTGTGAACACAAATTAAAAAAGGACCTCGGCGTTTCAACCATCAACAGACACGGATTTCCTTCAGTACCTGTCCACAGAGCCCCTAGCTCTGAGAAGCAAACTGAGGCACAGTACATTTTAGAAGAAGGAGAAAGACTATAGACAAGAAAACCAGGAGCAGCAACACAATTACAGATAATCCATGCTCAGAAAATAATAAAACTTAGTCTTGGGCTGAAGAGAGGATGCTGAGTGGATTGTGCGGAATCTTCCAGGCTGGTTGAGGAAAGCTTCCCTCAGCTCTAACCTTCAGGCTCAGACCTGAAGAACTGAAGCTGAGGAGGGAAAGAGGTCCAGAGTGTAAGAACTTCCTGGTCTCCTCGCCTCCTGTCCTGCCTGCACCCGCTGATTTTTCTCAATGTTGTGCCTCAGAGAACTTTCTAAATTAGATGTTGGATGTAGTACTGCCCACTTTAACATCCCTCCCTGGATCCTCATTGCTTCTAAGGCGCAGCTCCTGACCTTCTTCCGGGCTTCATGCAGCTGGTTTAGATTTTACAGCTCCATCCCTTAAACAGGGCAGTCCAATCTTACCGCAGTACTTTTCTCTACTTAAACAATCCATACTCTTAAATAATTTATTTGAAATTTTTTTTCACTCTGACTCTTCAGTCTGGTAGGTGTCCACTCAGTCTTCAAGACCCAGCTCAAATGTTCGCTCTTTTCTGAAGCCTTCCCTGGCTCCCCTTGGCTTCTCACTTTTCTTTTCTTTTCTTTTTTTCCCCCCACTTTTCTTTCTTCATTTTTTTTTTCCAGAACCGGGGATTAAACTCAGGCCCTTGCGCTTGCCAGGGCAGTGCTTATTTCACTTGTTTTTTGTTGTTTTTTTTTTTTTTAAAGAATGCAACAGGGCTGGCCAAATAGCTCAGTGGATTAAAGCACCTGCTTAGGCAGACTCAACAGCCAGGGTTCAATCCCCGGTGTGCTGTGCCTGCTCCACCCCCTGGGCAAGCTGAGACAGCGATTGAGACTGGGCATGGCATTGCAATCCTGTAATCCCAGCTCTTGGGAGGCTGAACACAGATGGATCACTATCAGTCCAATCTATGCAGTGAGACCCTGTAGACACTGTACTAAAATACAAAAATAAATAAATAGATAAATAAATAAATGAAATGCAAAATGGTAAAAAAAAATCAGAAACAATACAGAATTTCACTAAACAATATACTAGCAATTTGACAATGGTTGTTGTACTACATAATGTTTCCTTCAAATTACTCATTTAGATTACAGATATAAACGTACAAAATTGGCAAAAATAAATAAAAAGTTGTGAGGAATTAAAGAGAGAAAAAAATTGAAACATTAACTGCTCCTTTCAACAGACCAACAGAAATCAGCAGTAAACAACTGTCCAAAGTATCCTGCATGTATACATAAATATATCTTTTTCCCTTCTTTCTTTTGCCCTTTTTCTCATCCCTATTTTTCCTTATCATTGAACAGTTTCTTTCCCTTTCACAGTATCTATTGTACCTTTCAGATTTTATTTATCTTTCAGGTTCTTACACTAGTGAAACAATACAATATTTGCACATGCAGATCTTTTTTACAGCTGAATAATACTCCATTTTGAAAAACTACCACATCTTTTTTATCCATTCCTCAGCTGATGGGCATTTGGTTTGTTTCTAAGATTTAGCTATAACAAATTGTGCTGTTATAAACATGAACACACATAAATCATTTTCAAGCCTTTTAGTATTTTATATTGGTTTTTATTGAGTTCTTAATTTAAAACAACATCTCATTGTATCAGGTAGAAACTTCTCTTGGCTAATACAGAGATCTGAAAAGTAGTGACTGCAAAGAGATTAAAATTTATTTTCAAACTCCTTTTTTTTTTGGAACCACGGATTGAACTAGGGCCCTTGCACTTGCCAGGGACTCAGGCCCTTGCACTTGCCAAGGAGGCGCTTATTCCACTGAGTCATCTCCCTGGCCTAAAAATTTATTTTTAAATGTGAATCTGGGGGTTGTAAAGTGAATCCAAAAGATTATCATGGATCCTATTTTCTTCTTTTTTATTTTTTTTTCTATTTTCTTCTATTAATTCTATTGACATAGCCATCATGGTCATCATCAATAGAACTCTTGACCCAATGTGGCTGCCACACGCTAGATTTAAAACAGAAAGAAAGTGGACAAACATAGAACTGTCTGCATCACTGGTCATGGTGGTGCATGTCTATAATCTCAGCACTTAGGAGCCTGAGAGAGAGGTTTACAAGTTCTAGCCCAGTCTGGGTAGCTTAGCATCTATCAAGACCTTGTCTCAAAATTTAAGGTGAATATGGTGGCAGTGGAGATAACGACATTGGATTTGGTAATGGAGGAAGCAATTATGGAGGTGGTGTGAGCCACAACAAATTTGGCAATTACAATAACCAATCTTCAAATTTTGAACTTGTGAAGAGAGGAAAATTGGTCTCAGAATTAAAAAAGAACTTAAAGGCTGAGGACATATCTCAGTTGTAAACACCTTGGGTTCAATGCCTAATTAAAAAAAAAAAAAACCCACACTCAGCTATGTCCAAGAAACCTTTTCAGAAGTGCCTACCGTACTTCTACTAAAATCTCAACTTGCACAGTTCAGTAAGACACTATCTCAAATAAAAAGTGGTGACGCTGTAGCTTAGTGGTAGAGTGCTTATCTTACATTCATGATTCCTGGGGTCAGTTCCCAGTGCCACCAAAAAAAGTACATATCTGGATGGGAGGAGGTGGTCTGGGATATGAAATGCATCTTAGATGATCTATTTCTTTTTTTTTTTTTTTTTCAGAACTGGGGATTACGCTCAGGCCCTTGTGCTTGCCAGGCAAGCACTTATTCTACTGAACTATCTCCCATGCCCCCTAGATGCTCTATTTTAAGCTGTGCCAAGTTAGCACAGATTGTGGTAGTTACTGATCAAAGTTTAATTGCTTCATCATTTTTATTTCAAATGGAGATCTGAATGTCAAATCTGTAATGTTTTATTTGAAAGTTGTAAATAATGTATACAGATTTGTGATGGGATGGGAAGTGTCTAAATTCTAGATTTTTTTTAAAAGGAACCAAATATTTATAAGAAAACATTAATAAAGTTATGTTTAGCCATGAAAAATGGTCTCATCCCTCAGAAACTTAATCACCAAATCATGTCCAACGGCAAAAGATGCTGGAGAAATTGTCTGGTAAATCCTTCTTCTCACCAAATAGGAAGAATCATAATTCTGTTGCTAAGGAAAAGGGGGAGGGCATGTGAGATTCCTGCAGGCAGAAATGACTTCCCTTCAGTCTGGTGCACAATAATGGCTAGGAAATGCATTTCCAGCAGAGAATTGCTTCTAGAAAGGAAAGTCCTTCTACCCTAGGCCTCTTTCCTCCATCCTATTTGT